TTTCGGATCGAGGGCCCTTGAGTCAGCTTGGAAAAAGTAGCATTGCCATTGCGTTTCGGATTCAAAGTATATATACATACAGATACCCTCCGTCTCTCGGCATCTCTGTCTGTGGCTGTGTGTGCGTGTGCATGTCTGTCTGTGTCTATCTGCCTGCATGTCTGCTTGTATGTATGACAGTATGTATGTATGTATGTATGACACTGCACCGAAGCTGCTGAGAGTTTGCAGTTTTTGGCGCAGTAGGCCTCTGGAGCCTCTGGAGCACAGCCACAGTTGATTGTAATTTCATCTGGCTGACGTTGAATGATGATGTTGCAGAACGTGCATTGTGCAGACATGACAGTGTGCACTGCCTGGTCAACGTGGTCGTCTCCCTCGACTGACCGCGACTGACCGTGTTCAGTGATGCGAGGGCGATGATACACAAGTTGTAGAGCTGGTAGTGCTGCAGGTGAGTGTTTGACATGCTCATCTTCGTTTGTATGTCGAGATGTTGAGATTTCGCGTGTATCACTAAAACTCGAGCGAGCTAATGTGCTCCTTTGTCGGTGGGTTAATCGGCCCACAACCTGAAGCTACCGAGACTCTCAACCGTCGCCTGCTTGTCGAGTGCGAGTGCCAAAAAATGTATGTATGTTCGCATGTATGTGCAAGCATATTGATGGATGGATGGAACCTAAACTGTAAGATCTTTATTATGAGGACTCCCGAGGAAGGCCCCCTAGTTCCATGTTCCCTTGAAATCTGAGTTTGGTTTTGGCCGTCTTTGACAGATACAAAATCCGGACCTGCCGGGAAAGCAGCATTTGCGGTACAAAACGAGGGTCGGTAGTTCATGCGGGGGTTTACCATATAATTAAGAAATTCATTAATAATGAATAAATTAATGAACGAATTAAGTAATTAGTTAATTGATAAAAAAAGAATCTTAAGTGAAATAATTAGTTAAAGTATGCACATATATTTTTTTGAATAGACACTTTGTTATGTAAGTAAGTATGTATGTATGTATGTATGTATGTATGTATGTATGTCTGTATGTCTGTATGTCTGTATGTCTGTATGTCTGTATGTCTGTATGTCTGTATGTCTGTATGTCTGTATGTGTGTGTGTGTATGTGCGTATGTGTGTACGTGGGGAGGTAGCAAGGTAAGTAAGTAGATCGGTAGGTCGGTAGGCAGGTAGGTAGGTAGGGGTAGGTAGGTAGGTAGGTAGGTAGGTAGGTAGGTAGGTAGGTAGGTAGGTCGGTCCGTCGGTCGGTCGGTCGGTCGGTCGGTCGGTCGGTCGGTAGGTAGGTAGGTAGGTAGGTAGGTAGGTAGGGGTAGGTAGGGGTAGGTAGGGGTAGGTAGGGAGGTAGGTAGGTAGGTAGGTAGGTAGGTAGGTAGGTGGGTAGGTAGGTAGGTAGGTAGGTAGGTAGGTAGGTAGGTAGGTAGGGTGGTAGGTAGGGTAGGTACGTAGATATGTGTGTGTGTGTGTATGTATTTGTGTGTCTGTGTGTATGCCTGTATGTGTCTGCACGCATGTGTATGGGCCTGCTAATGTCGGAAGCACGCAACTAGTTCCTTGCGTTTTGAGGTGTAAGTTGCTAAAGGTGAGGCTTGATGAAGGCGTTTGGGCGTTGAGATTCACGATGTGGAGCTTCGGAGTTTGTAGTTGGTTTTTGCAAGAGATAGAGGGAGAGGGAGAGAGAGAGAGAGAGATAGAGTTGGTTGCAGGTTTATGTGCTTGAGGTTCAGCTGCCTGGACCATCAAGCCAAACCTGTTGCATGGCTGGCCACAAGAGCCGGCAAGCAGAATTGCCGGGACTTGTAATAAAGGATATGAGCTGGCACTCGAGACCCCAAAACCCAAAATCTGAAGCTCAGCAAGAGCTTCGATCCCAGACCTGCCCTAAATCCGAAACGTCCCGATTTCCCGCGCGTGGAGGTGCCTGCAGATGCACTGCCGTTCCTGCTGATGAGCTACTACGGACCCTGAGACTCCATTTGGTGTAAGACTGCTTACGGTTTGTAGGATGCTTGTTCCCCTAGGTCATGGTTTTTGGGTTTACGGTGCTCTTGCAGCATGGCTCGGATGGTGGCAGCGCCAGTATGCCCTGGCACGTGTTGAGACGCCTTGCATGTTCCAAAACAACTAAGGCATCTCAAAGGTTTGGGGACATGAGAAGGCAAGAGGACTGGGGTTCAAGATGGTAGGCCTTAGATCCTCCTGTGAGCCCGACATCCCGAACGTATGTACGTGCCGGGTTTGGGGGGCATGATGTTGTCCTGGCACCACACTGCATTCCACCTCACAAGTCGGATACCGAGTGTCGAGGAAACATACATGGGCTTGGAGGTGCGGACGGGAAAGACCATGTTATCTCGAGAGTAGCCTTCGCAAAGGCTACAATCCGGATCTACCTCAGCAGCCAGAGTCTGTTCAATGGGTGACTTGTCGTGTTTTACGTGCATAGATGTTGATCTCCCAATAGCACCACGACCTGAGCCAAGGGTTTACACCGGTTCGTTAAAGCCGAGGCGACAGTCCTGTAGAGAACTTGGCACGCATTGCCTGACTCCTTGCTGCTACCGTGACGCTGGAGAAGCGGGGACCACTACCGAGACTGGCACACCAAGCACCAAGCGGAACATCGCAGGTCCGGCACAGCAGCAGCAGCTTCAGAATCTGATGGTCCAAAGCCTGCAACGAAAGTGCAACTCTCCCAGGTGTGAGTTTCCAGCTTGTTCAGGAGCTTGGTTGTCGTGGCTTTTAAACAGTAAAAATATGTAGCTTTATTTGCAGATTCGGGGTCGCGCGTCGGGACTGGGTAGCACCTTTGCGGCGTTTTGTGTAGGAAACGTGGAGGGTCTCCTGTGGGTTCCCCCGCCCGCCCACTACGCCCAAACTACCGGCTTGCACAGTATAATGGGGAGTCCTTTGGGTACCGCGCGCTTGGGGTCTTGTGGTATCGGTGGGGTGTGTGTTCTCAGGGAGGACCAGGCAGCTTAAGCAAACTTGTCCGAAACCAGCCAAGAAATTGTAGAAATTGGCAGGCAAGGGCCATCCATCAAGACCCATCCAGCCATATGGCCCAACACAAGAATTTGTCGCATCGGCATGGAGAAGAGCATTGTCATGCTCGTTAGGAAGAGTCGCTGTATATGCAACGTAGTTCACCCACGACACTGTGAAGCACCAACATCAGTCGCGCTGCCAGCAGCATATCCTGAAGAATCTGCAAAAGCACTGAATCCTCAACTCCGGTGCTTGAATCCGCATGCGTTATGCAAGAAGCCAGGTGATACGCATGTCCTTCAGCGTCGTGCCTGGCCTGGCAGGCATCTTTGGTACCTTCGTCTTGCCCCGTAGATGCAAAGATTACCCAGCAGGCTGATTTTAGGGGAGCAGGGTTAGGGTTTGTTTGCAAAGGCATGAGACTTTCATACTTCTGGCATCCCCGAAGACAGTTGCCAAGGGAACGTTTCCAGGGTTTCTCAAGAACCACACGACCGTCGAGCCTTGTGCATGGCTTCGACTTTCAGTTTGGGGATGTCTTCGCGACATACTGTCATGGCCTCCATTCAAACTTCAGCCCCCAGGCCGAATAGCTGGAATGAGGTCATGTTCCTGATATGAGGGAGGAGAGCTGCCGTGCCTGAGAAGTCGATCTGAGAGTAGTGTCGAAGCCCCTGTCGTCGGTTTTTTGGAAAGTCGAGCCAAGCCTACAGGGAGAGCAGCCGCGCAGAGGCTAGGCTGATCAATGTTGCACTTGTCGTTGCCACTATGCCGCGAGGGTGATGCTTGTCATCTTTTGTTTCCTGCTGCCAGCTTTTCCTGTCATTGCCCTACGTCCTTATGTTCATGCAGGTGATACGACGACATGCTTGTTTTTCTTCGTTGTATGCTCGTTCTTTGTCTCCCTCCATTTTGGCTTTGTTGGTTTCTCGCTCGCTCGGCATGTCGTTGTTTGTGTCAGAGCCCGCCCTAATATTGCGGCAATGGGGGGGTGTTACCTTCATCCACCTATTTACGGTGTGGATCCCCACCTATTATGTGAAGGGTTCAGTGCGTCATCTCCATTCAGCAGGCATTTTTCCTTGGAGCTCTTTGGCGATTTGGCCTGTGACGGCTTTGCAATACTCTGAATATCTGTTTGCTGCGATAGTATCTGGTTGATTCTGCCCAACCGTAGCAACACGCCGAAACCCGACAACTATACCAGCAGCGAGTCCTCTTGCCCTATTATGCAGGCCCTTAGGCTCGAAATTTAAAAGGGTCCTGCAGAACTCGGGCAACTGACGTCCGGAAAGCGAATCCCTGAACCTCCAGCACAAGGTACTTCTTCAAGCTCCGTAACTCGAAGCAGCACGCTGACATCGTCAATGGTGTCATCGCGCATCAGCAAGGTTGGGTTGAGGGAGCTGCTAGCCCGACACACACCCCTCGACTTTACAGTGTGCATAGGCAACTTGGTCATGTTTTGCAAGGATCATTGATAAAGTCCCGGCCAACGGCCAGACTTCCCTGAAGACTATGACTATGAACCCGAATTTCGGCCCCATCCACTGTTTGGCACGGGAGGGGGGCCAGCTCTGGTTTTGAGTATCTGAGTAGTCCTATTACGGTACTAGTAGTTACTGTTTCTAGTATATAGTCGTGGTATCTAGTGTGTGTACTAGTGTGATTGCAGCTGCGCTCAGGGAGGGCCAAGCATCGCAGCACAAGCAGCAAAAGCAGCCGTCCCAGTAGCAATAGATAGGTAAAAAGCGGGTTTGATCCTCACTGATTTTCACAAAACTGACCGTGCCTTGGTTTTCCGAGGTGGCGGTGGCTGGTCGTCGTCGTAGTATTCCTCCGGCTGGCTCGTAAATCTAAAGCCCTGCATCTAATCTTTCATTGATCACCGGAAGAAGGTAAATTAGACAGTTCGGGCAACTTTACAGGAAGGTCTTTCGACCAAAGGAGGCGCCACATCAATTGGGGTTCATGAGGGCATTCAGCATATGTTTAGATAGGGCTATCAAGCAACACCTAGCCAACAAGCCCAAAAAGAGGTTTCATTTCGAACTGCTTCTGTAGCCAGCGCCGTTGAGCATTAGAGCGGCAGCAACTGGATCCGTTAGCAGGGCCATGTTCAATAGTGCCTCTAGGTTTTGTGCCCCAACATAGGGGATATTTTGGCTTTACGACTCCTTGAGTGTCTTGGTTTTTGATTTCGGGTTGAAGGCTCAAGGGTGGGAACACCCCAAAAACTTAAATCCTCAGCAGGTCAGACGGTCGTAGATCCGCTGACGGGTCTGATCATGCCGCCCATCAAACGTCATGCAGACAACTCCGCCGAGTACGCAGCTTGGTCGCCAGGGCATGCCGTGTCGCTTGTCGGAGAGGAAGTTAGGAAATCGAGCTCTCATGAATTGTCCCCTCAGCGAGCACTGAAGCCACTGAGCCTTTTGATCCCAGAGACTATAAACCCGAGCCTTGCATCCCAACACGCCTAGGAGGGGCGAGTCGTCGGCTCAAAGGCAATGCAGATTTTGGAGCACTTTTTTGCTTCCGTGCCTTGGAAGACATTTCTGAGGGTGGCTGTTCGGTCCCTGATTTCCGCAGCTCTAACCCCAGGCTTGGAGCTCAGAAGCTCTAAGAGACTTGAGGTTTCCGGGTGCCAGAGGCCTTCGGGCTTTGTGCTTTCTTGTAGCTGCCGAGACCCAGCACATGTGTGCCGGCGATGTTTGCACATGCCCCGACTTGAGTGCGTCCCTTGGTAATACTGTAATAGCCCTGGGCAGTCGCCATAGAGCAATGGTTGATGGAGGTCTCTTTAGGGCAAAAACCCGAAGTCTGCGGTCCATAGGTCTGGAGCCTGCAGCCCCCAACCCTCCCGCTTTAATCTCGATGTCCTTGTCAGATGCAGTAGCCTGAAGTGCCGTATGATCAATCACTTCCGGCGTTCCTGCAGAATCTTGTGGGTTTAGCGAACACTTCGGACAGAGGACAGTTTTCAATTGCTTTCTCGTCCAGCAGCCCCGAAAGACTCGACACCACTTCCCAAGTTCCCAAACTTCGAGCCGTGCTCGTTAACCTCATTCGTGGGTTGCAGCCGACTTCCGAATCTCTTCCGAATCTCTAAACAACAAAGCCTCGCTTCCGGTTGAGAGTTCTGGATCTTGGAACCTTGGCGCCGGAGTGTTTAGACTGGGCTTTACGGTACTAAAGCTGTAGACGGGAGCAGGGACGAGTATTGCTGTTTCGGGCTTTGCAATAGGCCTGAAACCCGAACCGAGCCCTGAAACCCACAGCCAGTCCCTGGTCCCTGAGCTCAGCACCTACAAGTTTAGCGTATAGAAGTTGCGCGGTTGGGCTTTTTAGGGCTGAGGGGTTGCAGATGCCCTCCAGAATCCAGAGTGTCGCCGATGCTTCATGCCCAGAAGTCATGGTAGTGGTGAAGCTCCATGATCCAGACTAGCTACAACCCTTGTGGCACTATAATTCCTCCCATAGTCTACAGCCGCAGTCGGCATTATTGCTTGAGGTTTTCTCCCCTGAAGAGCCTAAGTCGCGAATTTCGAGCGCAACAGATTGCAGCGCCCAGCTTGTGTTTTATGTCGTAGGAGATCAATGCCGCATGCGCTGCAGGGGACGTGGGCCGCTGGGCTGGAAGAAGTCTAATGTAATGAGGGGCCTTGTTTGGCGTTTCGGCTTCAGGGTCTGTCAGTTGGACTTAAAAGGGTCTGTCAGTTATTTTTTGTGTTGCCACGTTTGCAGGGAGCAGGTGTTTTATTCAGCTGACTCTTCTGAACGGAGTCCGCAGGAAAGCTCTTCAGTGAATGTCGAACTTACAAAAATAGCCCATGAGCAACCGAGTGCTTGCAGCAACTTGCAGCCTCTCCGCCAAGCCCTGGAGGCAAAGACTACTTGCGAAGCCCTGCTGAGCACTGCTGCAGTATAATGTATGGAAAGGATTAGTGTTGGCGCCCAATTTAATGCAAAGCTTGAACATTGTAGTTAACTTCCCCGAACTGCTTTTGGGGACCCCTGTAAAGAAAGTTTGTTACGGCTTCCGAATCGATTTTGCAAGGCTGTGCGGTTCCTTACCAAACAGTTTATGTCGGGTGGCCAGGCCATCATTTCTGTAAGGCTGGAGCCTAGCAGGCCGTGTGGATTCCAATAGTAGACACAAAAGACGTGGAGGATATATATATATATACACACACGTATACGCTCGCCCCCCCACCCCCATGATCTACCATCGGTGGTTCTGGGGGGTGGGGGGAACAGGCACAGTGTCACCGAAACTGTTGCAAGCCGGAAGTCTCCTGCTGCGTTGTTGTACTGTACGATATGAGATGTCATGTCTTCTATTGTGTGTTCATATATACAAAGGTCCTTACACGTCATGCTTTTAAACGGAAAGTTCATATTATCTTGCTTCGCAGCTTGAGGTTTGTAGGGCATTTAAGCGATGTAAACGGGCCTGAAAAAGTAGAATGGGTCTTTATTAACATAGTGGTAGAAAGACGATTTGGAGATGTTGCTGCTCATGGTTCAAGCTTCTACATCGAGGTGCTGTTTAACTAATGCACAACCGTATTCCTCATTATATGTAGCTACTGTAAAGAGAACCCCAAGCCCAGAGTTTTGGGCTTTTTCATGATTCCAGACCTTGGGGGGTGTCTGACTGTTCATGATATACGATATACTGTGATGTGAGTAGTGGAAATCCAGCACTACTAATCAAAAAAATCAAAAGTTATCGGGTAAGACTGCTGCAACATCAGGCAAAATTGTACATTG